TACTTTTCTTAATTACTGAACAATGTCATGTTCTGGATTTCAAAAATTAATTTGTACACCCTGGATTACCTAGGCAGCAGATACATTTAACTTTGACTGTCAAGCAAATTCACACTCAGAGCCAAGCAACTATATACATATATTTGTCAGAGATGCCTAGCTTGTCCTATCATCTTTCTTTTTCTTCCCAAGCTGACTCTGTGCACCCACACACATACACAGCTGTATTAAATGTAGGTTTTAGTTTTGTGCCTCAGTCAACAATGTCCTAAACTTGGATTTGAACACATGATTAGACCACAAAACCTGTCCTGTGAGTCTCAGTTGGGTCCTTTGGTCGTCTCCTATTACTCACCAGCATCAAATTATCCCCTCCCCCAAGTACTGGACAAGGAAAAAAGTTTCTTAAATCACAGAGACTGTAGTTTTTCCATTGTCCAGTAGACGGCACAAAAGATCAAGCCTTCAAATGCTGAACAATCCACCAAAGCTGTTTGGTCTGGTTTGGAGTGTGTTTGAGTGTACTCTTCATTTCAGCTAGTCAGTCTGCCAGCCAGCTAACCAGTGCTGTATCTGTGAAGCAGAGAAGAATCCTCAAACTAAAGATAACTTTGCAAAGTTCTGAAATGTAGCGATATGAAAAAAAGATCTGCTCACCAAAATGCTGCTTTAGATAACGTACCAACCATTATAAATGAGGAGTTTGGAGGGAAATGTTATTGAGAAGTTTGTTGTTTAAAAGTTACCTTTAAAGAAATGAAACTGAGATAAAATACAAGGCATTTTATTTTTAATTATCTTTTAATAGATGAAAATATTTGCAACCTGAACCTTCAAAATTCTATATTGGAATTTTGCAGGGTGCATCTATACTTTTTGTTAAACTTAACACACAACTTAGACCAGAAAATCAAGTATTGTATTTCACATGGGCTAATGTATACATGCATATATAATCTGTAGTAGAAAAGGCGAAGAAATTTTCTAGAAATTTTTTGAATAGCTTTTGGAGACTATTGGATGATGAAGCCATTAGAAATAACTTAGTTGAAACTTTCCTCTCCTAGAGCAATGTGTGACTGTAGCGAATATTTATATTTTACTAAAAGGCTTCTATTTCTCTTTTCATTCTGCAGACGCTCCTTATGTAAAAGTGGGGGGAGAGGGTAAAGTGTGGGCTAATAACTCATTTCCCAGTTAATTTTATTAAGAATTTATAGCACTGTTTAGAAAGTTTTAAGACAACCATAAATTTTATTAGGAATATTTTATTAAGCCCTCCATTTAATTAATAAAAGACCTCTATAACTTCTGAAAATGTCAGAGCTAGTAATTATGTTAACCAGTGTGATTTTTCCCCCTCTAGAGACCAAAGCGTTTTAATGATCTGAAATAGAAAAGTGGTAAGGAAAACACCCCCCCACCTCCAAAATTTTTTTGTTCACTTTTGCATTATGCAGTCAGAGTATAGTGAGTCAGGTATTCTCCCTGTGATGGCTGCAAAGCCTCAGCTGACCTTTCATTGACTTCTGAACTGGACCCAGACATTCTTTGTTTTCTGAAGCAAAATGCAGTAAACAAACCTCAGGGTTCTTACAGCCAGGATTGCTTTGGGGCACTTGATTAACGTCTTCCCTAATCCTGTCGGTTAACCCCCTTTCATATCACCTAACCAGGTTTCTCCCTTTTATAGACCTCTAAATAGTTTATTTCACTTTTCTCACAGCCATTCATTAGCTTTGACTTCTTGGTACCTTTCTCATACCGAATCCAGGCTCTTATCTCCAACATTCCTCTATTATCTCTGCTAGATTCGAAATCTATTTCCTTTAAACTGTCATTCCCTCCTCTTATTTCTGTTTTTTGAAATGCAAATACTAATGTGAGGTGAGATTCAGAGGATAAATGTTCTTGAAGAACAAATCCTAAGCCTCCAGTCCACAGGACAACCTAAAGAGTAATCACAACATTTTAACAGGCATCTTAAAGTTAGGTGGCAGATGATAAACCCTTATCATTCTGTGAACACAGCTGCCAAACTCGATTGATTAACAGGCTTTTGTTTATTCTGGGCTGGCAAATACACACACATTTTACCTTAAGAGGTGCCTTTTTAATTTCTGAGGGTTTTGGAGCTGACTCATCAGTGTGAACTTCAGGGACAAAAGCCTAACTCAGGATATAGATCTTTCCATCGGCAGAATTCTTTATAGGAGAAGAGAAAACTAGAGGGAAGTTCTTAGGGAGGACTGTACCAACAGTCTCCTTGCCAGAGGGTCTAAGCAATAGAGACCTAGGCCCCAGACTACCCCTTTAGAGTCCTCATTCTCTACCTTTGGGAAGATGCTCCGGATGAGAAGGGTAAGATGGGTATGGAAGGCCCAGGTAGAGGGGCAAATGCCAGAACTCTTCACCAGGCCAAGTTTTTGCAAAATAAAAGTATTTTGCCTTAAAAAGTAAGTATCTGCCATAAGCTAAAGATAGGTACTGTCAGAGAAGAGGTATAAATATCAGCATTGGTTTTCTAAGATACCTAGAACTATCCTTTTACCCTTTCCTTTTAATAGATGATTAATTGCTGCTCTGCTAAAGTTGTTTTTTTTTTTTTTATGGCTACTATATTGCAACCCCAGACATAGTCTGTGCAGTTTCTCTCAGCAAGCCCCAACTGTAATAACTGTTTGCTAATTGTAAAATCCTTATCCAGAATGAGGTTTGGGCAAACAATTTGTACTACTATAATTACATTGTAAAAGTGTTTTAGTCTCTTGATTGTTCAGAATTAATCTTATGAAGGCCTAGGACCATCAGCTTCACAGTTATACTTGGAAAGGAAGGGAGGGAAGAAAGAAGACACTTTTCAAAGCTCATGAGTTTAGCTTAAGCCCACCAATTCAAAGTATGTCTTTCTTTAAGGAAAATCTGTTTTTAGGTAATTTAAAGTTGAAGATCATGGTTGAAAAGCACAATAGTCTTTCTACTGCTTTAAGTTTGGGGTTGTGCTGGAAAAGGAGAGACTTACCTGAATCTTCTTTTTCCATCCCAGCTAGAAAACAAAAGAGGAAACTTACCAGAAAGCATCAATACAAAATACATTCTATTGTCAAAGAACTATGTATATCAAAACTGGCCTCTTCACACTTGAAAACGTGGCCGCAGACCCGAGGTAACACCAAGCCTTAGTCTTTGCCGGGAGAACCCCTAGGGCTGTTAAAGACTATGGTCATCAAAATGTATTTCGCAGTAAATTTCTCTCGGTTAGATTATACTTACACAATTCCCTTCGCAGTTCATTTTAGGATCATAAATGTAGCTGTGCCCGTGTCAGTGTTTGGCTTGACGCCCCCACCCCCTACTTCGTTCCCCACTGCCGCCACTCGCGCTTTTGCCCAGCGGGCCTGCTGGAGAGAAAGAGCTCACAGCCCAGCCAGCAGCCGTCGGAAGGCGCCCAGGTGTTGGCCGAAACCGGCTGGGGTTCCAGGAAGGCGGCCGGCCCAGTTTGCTCCCCTCTGTAATCTGAAAAGGATTGCCTTTCCTGGCCCAGTCAGCGCAGCTTCCCGAGAATTAAACTGAGAAATCGCCTTCCTCAAGACCGGGAGTTTCTATTTTGGCCTGAAATTCTGTTTCCAAGTTCACGCTGGGGAAGGGCTGGGGAGTGGGGGAGAGAGGAGGAGCGGGGTGGGGTGGTGGTGTCAGGCAGTGGCATAAAGGCCCTGGTAATTCACCTGGATCCTCTCCGCTCTGACACGCGGCCCTGCCTTAACCTCACGCGTGCTGTATCGAGGAGTTTGCACCAGAAAACTCTACACTTGTTTGCGATGGAGAAAAGTAAAAGATCTTAAAACTTGGGGAGTGAGGTGGTAAGGAAGAAAAAGGAAGAGAGAGATGCAAATGATGAGGGATCCTAGGATGAGTAGTTAAAAGAGAACGCTTTCAAGGCAAAACGAATCCGCAGGCTTTGGGTGAACGTATCTGTCCTTTGGACACACTTGGGGCGAGTTCGGAGTTGGGGAGGGGATGATGTGCACGAGGCTGGGAAAACTAAGATGCTCGACTTTATGAAACCTCTACTCTTTGGGGGAACGGGGCGTTGACTCGTGAGAAGTATTAAAAGAAGCAATACTCGTCGCTTAGGGAGATACGTGCGCTCAGTGCAACCTGATTCCAGATCTATGTTCTGATGTTCGCCCTGGGTCCCCTGCTCCTCCAAAGCCCACTTAAACAGAAACTTGAATTTTGTCTTTTGGACTGATGCGAATTCTCTTTTAGTTTGAACATTAAGAGTTGGCTTCCATACATGTTAGAACTCCTGATATTTTTCAATCTCTGCGGATGCGAACCCCTAATCTTTCTCAAAACTCTTCTCCGTACCTACACCTCCCCCGCTTCGGGGTGAAGGTTGGTCCGCAGCTGGCCGTGTGGGAAGAAGGTAGGGGCGAAGCAAGCAAGGGGCCGGCTGCTTTGGGAGAGTCAGCCTTTTGGCCACCATCAGGGCGGGAATCGGGACTGGCAGTTTGCATTCCCGGCAGATCGAAGCTCCCTGCTGATCGATTATTTGATAATTGATTTTCCCCGCAGCCAATGCGCGGCAGCCTTGGCAGGGGCGCCTCCTGATTGGCCGAGCCCTCCTCCCGGCTGCCTACCGAGATTTGGGTGAGCTCATTTTCCAGTCGACCGCAGGGGGAGTTTTCTGCGAGGTTTCTGTCGGGGGGGGGGGGGGGGGGAATCCTGCTCCGAGCCGAGCGAGCTGAGAGCCCTGCTCCGGGATGTGAGGTTTCCAGCCCGCTGGTCGAGCGGCTACGACTGAGCCGTCTCGGCAGATCAGAGCCGGGCGGGCAGAAAAATAAAAACGAAAATGGCACCACTTAATATAATAATAAAAGACAGGCTTAGAGTGGGAGAATAAAGAAAAGGAAATATCTTGTTTAAACTGGAGAATAGGTATTTAAAAGGAGAAAGTTCACACTAGTGTCTGGTTGGGGCCTCCGAGTTGTGGGTAGGGGCAGCTTTTTGTCTGAAATTTCAACCCCTGAAGTGAATTTCTTTTTCTTTGGCACTGGGAGTTTTTTCCCTACGCCGGACTGGGGATTGAAAAGCGGAGTCAGTGTAAGAAAGTCCGGGGAGAAGAGCGCGGGGCGTCGCCGCGGAAAGAGCTCGGCGGAGGCCGGAGCCCGGAGCCCCTCGGCGCCTCGAAGACAAAGGCGGCGCGGCTGTAGTCCTAGCGGAGCGCGCCGACCCCGCCGCGCCGCGCCGCGCCCTGGGCGCACGGCCGTCTCTCCCGGAGCCGGTCGGAGAAAGAGCTTCATTCCCCGCGGCTCCTGGCCCGGGCTCCACCCGCGAGGTCTGGGCTGCTCCGAGCCCGAGTCGGGTTTCGCTTTCCGGCGATCATAAATAGCTTCGTGTTTGTAAACAGGCGCTGGGGGCACATTCCCGGCTCTCGGCTCATTGTTCCCTCCCTTCCTCTCTCACTCCGCGCAGGACGCCAGGACTGGGGCTGGGGGCCTCCGGGACTAGGAGATGAGGAGGTTCAGACCCCCAGAGTGAGAAAATGCAAGCATTTGCTTTCTCGGGCCGAGTGTCCACCTCTGACAGCAAAAAAAAAAAACCTCTTAAGCTAGATATGCAGAAAGCCCCAGCAATCCCCACCCCACGTTCTCAGGACTCCTTAGCAGACCCTTTCCCAGCCGTGCTCCTGCTCCTCTTCCTCTTCGCTCTCGGTTTGACTTTTCTACGTGGAGTATTTGGTTCTAAGAATCCACTACTTTCTGCATCAGCCCCCCTCCGAGCCGAAAAACACAGGCAGACCCCAATAATTTCGAGGAAAGTCAGGAAGTCTATCCGCGGATCCCTGGGCAAAAGAACGCCCGCTGCGGTTTGTCCCGCGTTTATTCCCGATTTATTTCAAGAAAGTCAGCTTTGGGGAGAGAGTCTGGAGGGGGAGGGAGAGAAAAGAATACGGAAAATAAAGCCGGCGGCCGGGGGCTTCTGCCCGCGCTTGTGCGCGTGTGCCCTGGGTGTGTGGGTGTTTGTGTCTGGGCGTGCGATTTAATGGAGCGCCTCTCTGCCTCTCCAGTGCGGCCAGAGCTCGCTTCGCGCACCCACCCCTGCCGAGGAGTCTACTTGCTGCAGCCCAATGCATTGTGTAAGACGCGACCTGTTATGGCCACCACTACTTCCGGGTTCTAGCATTCTGGTCGGAATCCACCTCTCCGCCTGTGCAACACACACTTTACACACGCACGGGGACTGCAAGCGGGCAGCATCGATCGTGGCTCCTTTAAGACAAACTCAGACAGACATTTTTTTTAACCCTCCTCCTCTAATCTCCCTCCAGTGCAGCAGTGGCAAAGACGGAGAGAGAGAGAGAAAGAGAAAGAGAGAGCGAGCGAGAGAAGAGAGAAACTGATTAGGAATTAGGACTGATTCAAGGGAAGCGAACGCTAGGGCTTTGTGCATTTGAATATTAACATTTGAGGTGTTCTGACCAGAAGAAGACAGAGCGGATGATCATTCATTCACCACGTTGACAACCTCGCCTGTGATTGACAGCCGGAGTGGCAGAAAGCCATGAGATTTGGTAGTTGGGTCTGAGGGGCGCTCTTTTTTTTTTTTTAAACTGATTTTTTGGGGAGAGAAGATCTGCTTTTTTTTTTTTTTTCTTGCCCCTGCTGCTGTCTTGGAAACGGAGCGCTTTTATGCTCAGTGACTCGGGCGCTTTGCTTCAGGTCCCGTAGACCGAAGATCTGGGACCAGTAGCTCACGTTGTTGGAGACGTTAAGGGATTTTTCGTCGTGCTTTTTCTTTTTTTTTTTTTCCGGGGGAGTTTACGTATTTGTTTCTTTTCACACTGGCCTTAAAGAGGATATATTAGAAGTTGAAGTAGGAAGGGAGCCAGGGAGGCCGATGGCGCAAAGGGTACGTATTAAAAAACAATTGTGGAACTCAAATGTGAGATTAAATTGAAACGTGGCTGAAAGACACTGTTAAAAAGTTTCCTTTTTTCTCTGTCTTTTTTTGAATGAGGCTCCTAAAGCCTTGGCCTAAAGCAAGAGGATTTATTCAATGCATTTGTAGACTTATGCATGTTACATGTAATTGTTAATTCAAGTAATCAAGTTTCCTATAGGTTCGTAACCAGCAGCTATATAAATAAAAATACAAGCTCGGGCAATCATCTGTTTAAAAAACAAAAAGTGCTGGATACTTGATGTTAGGTAGCCTGAACATTCAAGGAACAGAAGTTTAAAGCTATTTTTAAACTAAAATAAGCAGTGAGAAACTTCTGATATGTTATTGATTATGCTCATCTTTAATATCACTGGAAGGGTTTAGCATTTTTAAGCAAATAACTTTGTCATAGTACAACAGTTTTTTTGGGGGGGGGGTCGGAAAGCATTCATCTTTTAAAAGTAATTTTAATGTACATGACTTTTTATACAAGCTAATATTTTGTAAGTTTTTCTTAGAAAAGCCCTACACTAATTGGATCCTAAGCACACAACTATTCACTTTAAAAATGCAATACTAATTTCCCCAATATTCCTATTTGAATGGAAATGTAGTGAGAGTAAAGTGAGACAATGACAATCCAACAGAGGTAGTTTCTTTAAAGAAAGGGGATCTACAAAAAGCCTTCCTTGCATAAATTGTGCCCTGGCCCTCAAAGCTCTGTTTGCAAAAGAAAGTTACTAGGCTGACACATTTTTTCTTTACTCCTTTGGTTCAGGCAAATGTCAGCGTTCTTCCAAACTCTTTTCACACCTCTGGCTTTAAGGAGATGAAAGTGGCAATTCCTCTTTGAAAATCATTTCACTCTCGGTGCCTCCAAATCTTGGGAAAAGAACTTGCCTGAAATGAAGCAATGAGAAAAACCTCAATAGCTAAATTTTGCACACAAAAATAATGACAATATGAAAGTAGTTTTTCTGGAGAACGAAGATGGGGGGTGGTGGTTTGAATGTGCATTTACTTTTAAATTTGCTTTAAACCTGATGACTAACAATTTACCCCATTGCCTTCTAGTTTAGGGGGAAAGTTAATAATAGTAGAAAAAATAGAATAACTGTTCCAACTATAGATTTTCTTTTAACTCGGGGGGAATATTGGCTAATTCCAAATTCAGCCCTAATGTCCAAGAGAAGTTACCCTTCTCTGAGTTTCCCTTATAAAGGGGGCAGTTAGTTTTGTATAATTTTGCAGAGTTTGTCTTGGAGAGCAAAGGAAATGCAGTGTCTTGCAGGACTGCCTAACCCCACGCTGGCAGGGAAATAAAATGAGAAGCCTGTCTGAATTCACGTGCTTGGCTTAGCTGTTCTCATCGTAACTTTTTTTTTTTTTTAATTCCCCCCGATGGGAAGGGGCTGTGAAACTAGGCAGGTTTGTTGCACTGTCCTGGCACGTTTTATTATTGTGATTTTGAATTTCCTCCTCTAGAGACATGCACGATTTACCTTTCGCCCTCCGGGAGAATGCCTCCCTTTCTTCCTTCTTTCTTCCTTCCTTCCTTGCCAAAGGATCCTGAATTTCTGACTAGTTGATAGGGCCACAAGTTAGGGCAAGACCATTCCAACTAGCCGAGTCTCACCGACAATCCTAGAGTTTTTACTTAAAAAAAAAATTTTTTTTTTTTAATGAGAAATCTCAACTTCAGAGAGGCAAGGCCCCCGAATTCGGGGTTGAAGGGTCCAGCTGGACTGACGTTGTGTAAGCTCCGTGCCCTGCCGTCTCCCCTGTGTGCCTGCCTGGCCTTCTGAACCTTGTTTCTCTCCTGTTTGTCACCAGTACGACGATCTACCCCATTACGGGGGCATGGATGGAGTAGGCATTCCCTCCACGATGTATGGGGACCCGCATGCGGCCAGGTCCATGCAGCCCGTCCACCACCTGAACCACGGGCCTCCTCTGCACTCGCATCAGTATCCGCACACAGCCCACACCAACGCCATGGCTCCCAGCATGGGTTCCTCGGTCAATGACGCTTTAAAGAGAGATAAAGATGCCATTTATGGGTAGGTACGACGGGCAGCAGGTTCAGTAGTTTCGAGGCGAGGCTTTCTTTCCCCATTTCCCTTTGCCCTCGATAGGAGGAAAGTCAGAGCTCTCTGGATTTGGAGGTACATTATTTGGTGACTTTTCATTCTCTTTGCATGGAGATTTGGGGGAGGCGGCCAGCCCAGACGCCCCCCCCGCCCGCCCACCCCCGTCTCCGCTCAGGCTCCGCGCGGGTCCAGCGTCCAGCTCCGCCGAGGCCATGCCCGCGGAGGGGTCGCCGTGCGAAAGTTGCCAAAGGTCCCTCGTCCTCCCACCACCCCCCGCAGACTCCGGCTCGTAGTTCAGCGGGTTGGAGTCCTCACTTGCTCGACTTCTCGGGGAGAGTGTTGGGGATTTCTAAACGTAGGCGCCTTTGTGTTGGAACGAAACTTTGAGTTTAAAGGAAAATCTTTTAAGCCACTGATTGTTCTGACTTGCTAAGTTTACTCAGCCACCGTATGCTGGCCTTGCCACCGCACAATAAAATCAAGGGAGGACAGTTGCAGGTCAGGCAAGGAGGAACAGGCTTTGCATTTATGGAGTTTGACCGCTGCAGTCGAGGAGAGGAGCTCACTCTGAATTGTTACAGACCTTAAGAAACTTCTGGCCGTTTTAGGACTTTGTGTTTAAGGGCGAAACTTGCAGGATTTAGAAGTAGATGCGGGGTGCTCTCGGCCGGTGTAGGGTTCCGCTGCGGTTCACACCGTGTTCTCCGGGGCCCTGGGGTTAGACCAAAACCCTCTGAAAGTCACTTGTGCCTACTGTGTGCTGAGGTATTGGGGGACTGCTTTTTACTTTGCAGCCACGTTTATTTTCATTTATTTCTTCTTTTGAAAGACAAAAAACCCAGGTAACACTGACCCTCCCCGACTGAAAACCCTTTCTGCTTTATCTTCTGGTTCCTTGTGCAGTGGGCTTGTTTAAACCCCAGCGTCTTCTCTGCGGCGTTAACTGCAAATGGTTTAGGCTCCCGGACAGAACATTTGGGGAAGCTTTGAAAAGGACCCCAAACTATTAAATTCGCAGCCGGGCTGTGAGAGCTAATAAAAGACTTGAGACACCTCTTTGGGCATTAGAAGAGGCTTGTTTTGTTTTGTTTTGTTTTTAATGGGCTGAGATAAGCAACATTTAGGCCCCTCGCAATACTAGCTGCTTGGCCATTACGCAGGGACAAAATGAAAGGCCTGACCGCAGACAAATTTGAAGGAACTTTCTTGGGGGGCGGGGTGGGGGGGCGGTGGGGACCGTCGCGAAGTGAGGGAAGTGTGCAGGGAGCCGAGGAGGAGCCCTCGGCCCTCTGAGGGCCGTGGGGTCGGGATCGGTGGTCCAGCGCTCTGACAGTCGGTCAGTCCCACAACCATTGAGGTCCTTGCCCCAAGTTAGCTGAGCGCCTGCCTCCAAGATCCCCAGAGTCTGAGCTTCCCGGGGCGGCCTCGGAGGAACCCACTTGAACGAGATTTCCCACCTCCTGCGCCCCCGCGCCTTTCTCCTCTTCCAGGTCCCGGGTGTGCATCGGAGGGCCGAGGGCTGATCCTGGGTGGGAAACTTAATTCAAAATGGCTGCTGGAACCGCTTGGGTTTTATTCTTAGCAAATGTTACTAATTTCTCAGGCCAGATAGGCTGAACCGGTCCCCAGATACGGTCCATGGCTTAGGGCCTCCGACTTTGGGGGGCCCCAGGAGGAAGGGGAGGTGAGCAGTCACCTGGGGGGTAGGGGTGGGGGAAGGGGAACAAGTAGATGTCAAAATCAGGGAGAGGGAGGTCCCCGTCTTGAGCTCCTCCGGCTGTTTTTCTTGGGCTCCTTGTTTCACTGCCGCGGGACTAACCATTGTGTTGTTTGTGACTGTTGTATTTTCTTGCAGACACCCCCTCTTCCCTCTCTTAGCACTGATTTTTGAGAAATGTGAATTAGCTACTTGTACCCCCCGCGAGCCGGGGGTGGCGGGCGGGGACGTCTGCTCGTCAGAGTCATTCAATGAAGATATAGCCGTGTTCGCCAAACAGGTCAGCAAAATCAATGTTTCAAAAGTAAAAAGAAAAAAGAAAGAAAGAAAGAAAGAACCTCCCTCCACCGTCCCCCCCACCCCCAGCACATTTGCAAAAGTAACCAGCTAAACAGTCTGCCCTAAGCCAGGCCTGGTACACCTTCCCTGAGCTTTTCCTCCTAAATCAGTGTCTGTTTGCGGACGCCCGAAAATCACCCCACTTCTGACCCACTCCCGCTCCCTAACCCGACGCAGAAAGCTCTCTCTGTAAAATGCGACCCCAAACCCCCCGCGCAGGACCTTCCTTGGAGTTGGCGAGCTGGGCAGGGATCTCTTAGCAGCACACTGCTGGGAAAAGTAACCCTGTGCTCTGGGCTTGTTTTCGGATTATTTGACTCATATTGAAGGGTTTCTGCACGGGACGAACTCGGTATCACCGAGTCTGTCCCGGAGGTTACATCCTGCCCCCGACAGTGTAATGAGGCAAGAAACTAGGAAGGCGACCAGATTTCAAATGTTTCTTTCTCCCCCCCCCCCAATCCCTTTCCCCTCCCTCTCCCCTCTCCTTCTCACTTGTATTTAGATTCGCGCAGAAAAACCTCTCTTTTCTTCTAATCCAGAACTGGATAACTTGGTAAGAGCGGACCCCTTACTCCCCTCCCCACATCTTCCCTCCCCCAGCCCCCCTTCTCCCCATCCTTTGCTCTGAGCGCCCTGAGGTTTCTAGACCCTTCCTCCCATAGCTTGCAAGTGGGCTGCAAGGGTTTCCATCCACCGGCAAGTGGGCCGGGACGGGACGGGGTCTGGGGAAATAAATTCACCTCGAGAGGGGCCGGGTGAACCGGCGCGGGGAAACGCGAGCTTTTGTTTTTTATGACAGCCGGGCAGCGCGGCTCTAATCAGCCCGGGGATTTATCTCCGGGCCTGTCAGCGTGTGTGCTTAAACTTTGCGGACTTCCCAGCCCTCAAAGTCGCGTCACGAGGGCAAGCAACCAGGCGAGACCCCCCAGACCACCAGTTTATCGGAAAGATGTGCAGAAGGCGGCAGAAAGTTTGCAGTGTGAAAAGCCACAGTTGGGAGACTATTGGGAATATTTTCCATGCACGCCTTCCAAGGAAATACCTAGTGGAGGGGTGCAGCCCTTTGGGGTGGTGCAGGGACAGTGGGGCTGAGAAAGAGGGGAGCTATGGGCAAGGAGAGTGTTTATGACCCCCACTTAGATGCTTGGTTGTTGTTTTAGCTCTTTTTTTTCTCCTTAAGAAATATAAACCTCTAGATGGTACCCAGTCGCTGCTGTTAAGTTTTAGTGTTATTGCCATAAATCAAAATAACTCTATTTACTGGGGGGGAGGGGAGGGCTGGGGATGTTAGAGCTGTGACAGCCAATTTTCTGCAAGCTACGAATGGGGCGCTCATTCTTTTTCTATCTTTGCAGATGATTCAAGCCATACAAGTATTAAGGTTTCATCTGTTGGAATTAGAGAAGGTAATTTCTCTAGCTTTTTTTCTCCTTTTGCTTCCCCCTCATGCCCAAACACACAGAAGGGGAGGGTTCAGAATGGCTGAAGTTCAGGCTTCAGAGACATTTGCATAAACGTCTTTCTTTCTGGTAATTAGTGTCAAGGCCAATCTTTGCGTCCATTTCTCTTTGCAGTTTAATTACAATTTCAGACACTAAAACTGGGATCACAAACGCCCTAGCCTTGTATTCATTCTTAATACCTTGCTGGCTTTGTGTAAGTAGTTGCAGGGCTCTGCATCCCCTTGGATGTTTAGAAAGCTATCCTGAATTTGCTTCACAGGTTGTACCTTCTCTTCTTCCTCCTAGTCTTCTTTGCTACCTCTGTGGGGGGGGGGGGAGTTTAGTTTTAGTGAGTTTCTGGAAGACAGTCTGAGAGCAGCGGCAGGTCAGATACAGGGGGAGAGGCGGAGTGGGAGGAGGAGTGGGCCAGGAGTCTGGAGGAGGCGGTGGGGGAGGCACTTTAAAGGTTCTGCGGAGACAAAGCAGAGTTGATAGTTGTGTCAGTTTCTGGAATCTGGGAATCTTGCACACATCCCACCTTCACACTCAAGAAAGGGTGTGGGATAACGTGATTTTGCTAGCTGTTCTATAAATCTCAGCAATAAAAACTTAATGCATTGTAATTCAAAGTAACATTAAATTGCAAGCACACTGAGGTTTCTTGTGAATTTTTGCATGTCAGTGATGCCTGGGTCCTGTAAGACACCGCTCCACCTATCCCTAAATATTATGAAGCATTCTTTTCCCTTAAAAAATTAATCAGTTTGATATCTTTTTGTGGCTGTAAGGGTTCCCCCCCACACACATCATGAGTCTTTTCTTTTTTTTTTTAAGGAAGCATCCTAATAGCTTCTTATAGATAGAAACCCTAATTACCAATGTTAAAGGGACTTGGATTGTCAGGCATATATCCTATACCAACACAGTACTGGTCCTTTATATACATACACAAATATGTATATTTAATTTTTTTCTTAGACATGTTGGAAAAGGATTTATGATAAAAATAACTGGACAAAATTAAATAGTTTACCTTAAATGTCACCCACGTAGGTCACCTCTTTAATGGCCACGGCCCCAGGAGCAGATGAATTTAACACGGGTGTTGAATATGTTGTAGCCTGTGAAGCATCTTGTCACTGTCAATTTTCTGGGATATCTCTATTTTGCAAGAAAAGAAAGTTATTCCTAATTCTGGATGCGTCTGGGGGTCTCTGGAGGACAATTGCCCTGTGTTTCCCCTATTTAGAAGTTTGGATCTCACAAGGGGGGTGGATTGCACTTGTCAATGTCATTTATGAACTCCTGATTATATTTCCATTTTTTTATTTCTGTCATAATGTAGGTACACGAATTATGTGACAATTTCTGCCACCGGTATATTAGCTGTTTGAAAGGGAAAATGCCTATCGATTTGGTGATAGACGATAGAGAAGGAGGATCAAAATCAGACAGTGAAGATATAACAAGATCAGCAAATCTAACCGACCAGGTATGCGCTTTTCAATTTCAACATCCCTGGGAAAAAAAAATCTGTATGCATATTGCTTGCTGGATCACTACCACCTCCTTTTATTATTTGCATATGATTAAGTCCCTTTTAGATACATTTCCATCGAAATGAAAATTTTTGAATAATGTGGCTATTATTGCTTCATTAAGGCTGGCTCTGGGATTCGACCTGGAGAGATGAGCTTGTAAAAGCTTTGCCTGCAAACTTGACCTGTTTCTTGTCGCTTTTAATTTTTGTCTTTATTTTATTTACCCTCTACAATAATGGGAGTGTTAACTGCCAGTGACCGCCTCTGGTGGTAGGGCTTTGTTCTTGAGCATTTTTTCCCCCTTCTCTCTCAAAGAAAAGAAAAGTGTAAGGACTGCTTATTTCTTATTTTATTAGGAATAAACCCAAGATAGGTGGTCTGAGAGAGACAGGGAGGGTTTGAAATCTAGCAAATGCTTGCTATTTTCTCCCTGTCTATACGGTTCATTAGCCTGTCTTGTCAGTTTTCCTCGGCCGAACGCTTCTAGACCTCACTGAACATTGCTTTGTGCAGTGCTTGCTGCAAGCTCGCCCATTTTATTGTACTTAATAGAAAAAATAAGACCAGGCCGAGGTTAGAAAAACATAAATATGGACGTTTCTCCTCCTCCTTTCTACTCATCCTCCAGCCGGTACGTGCTCTGGGCCCTCTGGGTTGGCAGCTTTTGGAAGCGTCTGCGTCAGGGGCTCCTCGCGACTCCCTCGGTGTGGCGGTGTGGCGGTGTGGCGGTGTGGCGGGTGGGGGGACTTCGCGCCGCTCTGCTCTCGCTGCCGGCCTCCGCTGGCTTCGCCCCCTCCTCTCGTCCTCCCTCCAGGCCCTTCTTCCTCTGCTGCGTTGCTAAGTGGGGACGACTTTTATTTGGAGTTGCTGGGGGTGGGGGCAGATTTCTCTCACCCCAACACCAATGTTTGTTCCTAGTCCCTCTCTCCTTCACTCCTGTCTCTGTCGGCCCAAAGGAGTTGAGAAAATGCACAGAAAGTGAAAACGTGAGGAGTGGATGAGATGAAACAGGGTTCAGGACAGTTTTCGGTTGCGAATTATGGCAGGGCGTCTAGAGATCTGGGTGGCGGGCCTCCTGCGCCTGTCCACCTATAAGTGAGGGCCCTGAGTTGTTTCTCTTTCTGACTTGGCACGTGAGTCCTGTCTTGTGAGAGAGAGCAGCCTGCCTTTGTTAAGCCAAAGGACAGCCAGTCATACAGTTTTCTTTGCACGCTCTGCCATGATCACGGTTGGCCAGCGACTGTCTTGCAGAGTCCTTGCCGAAGTGCCCGACTCCTCGTCTTGGTGTCATCCTCAAGGTTGCTTCTCCCCATTAGCACTCCCTTCAGTCCCCAGTTGCATTTCTCTGGGTGACCCCCTCGGCAGAGGTGAAATTCTTCCTTTTACCCCAAGGAAGTGGAGGGCAGGCAAAGCTGAGCTTTAAAAGCGTCAACGCGCCGGGTCCTTTCTAATTGGCGAGTTACAAACTTTCGGCAGTGTAGACGAGTGCCCAGAACAGGCAGCCTACGCGATCCTGGCGCGGCCCCCGGTCCCCACCCCCGCCGGCCGCTCGGCCTCCCGCCTGGTTCAGGCTGCCAGCCCTGTCCCCGGAGCTGTTAAATGCAGATTCTGCAGAGGAACCCTCGGGTAGCTGCTGTTGAATAAAAATTGTAATCCAACAAGCCTAACTAGAAAATGGGATTCTAAAAGCTCCGGAGTGCTGGGTACATAAAGCTATTTGAGCAAATTACAAGAATCGCTTAGGGGCATGAATGAAATCAACACTTTAATTGCCTCCAAAATGAAGATTTATACCCCATTTTCCCCAACGAATCATTATTTTATTAAAATCAAAGATAAAGGACCAGAGTTAGGGGTGTTTTAAGGGTACAAAATTGGTAAAACAAAATTGAGCCCTCCCTCCACTCCTTAGGTAAACTTTTGTTACTCAGTTACCTTTATTTGAGACATGCGGATTGGTGGGCAGTGGTCAGGGGTGAAAACTGGCACTTCATTCTCCTCCCCAACTATAAAATGAGCAGCGTACCTCCGTCCCGGCCGCTTACGAGTGGGGGCTTCGCAGCTCTGGCTAAGCTCGTGGCTCGGTGGGCCTGTGCGCGTGGGCGCGCTCGCGTGACCCTCTCGGGCTCACCGAGGTCTCAGTTGGGCGCAGGGCCGCAAACTCCCAAGTGTGTGCTTTGGAATTGTCCGTTTCCCAGAAGCCAGGAGTGAGTGTGCCTGGGCTCCCTTTGGAGAGGGGCGCGCAGAGCGCGGGGCGCACGCGGGACAGTGCCTCAGTCGCGGGGTGGAGTCCCCTGTCCTGGGAGGTGGGGACGGAGGGAAGAGGCACTAGGGCCGCCTCATGGGCGCCAGTCCTCCTAACTGGAGCCGGCTCGCCGGCCCCCAAGGGCCGGGCCCGGAAAGGACTGCCTCGCCACCTGTCTGCGAATGCGGCCCAGCCAGTTTGAGCCCCAGTGGCGGGTGTGCTGCGGGCTTGGATGCTTCAGGTGTGGTGCGAACGCGGGGCGCCGTTTGCTCATTAGCTCCTCTGTCTCTAGGGCCTGTGGGCAGTAGGGTTTATTTTATTTTACTTTTCTCCTCGGAGGGCGCGAAGGCTGCCACCCGCGCGGGGACTTGAAATCCACGACTTGGATACCAGCTGGTTTCCCGGAGGGCTCAATCGGAGGAAATCCACTTGGCCTTGAGGCGTCCTTAGTTTGGTGCTTTGTTTTTCTCATCAGATTAAGGTGCCCCTAGAAGCCGTCATCCCGCTCTCACCCCACCCTCAACGCCCTCCCCCGACTCCCACTCCCAGACCCCGACGTCCCAGGTCCGAGACTCAACCTACCTCGGGCGCAGGCCTCCAGGGCGCCCTCTCCTGACGGCCTCGCTGCCCGCTCGGCACGGTCGCTCCCGACGCCCGGGGCCTGGGGGCAGCGAGGGGCACCCGGCCTTTCCGGCCTCTGCAGGGCGCGAGGGCCGGGCTGAGACCCCGGGAGCGGGCGCAGAGGGGGGCCACCGTGCGAGGCGTCGAGGCCAGGGTTGAGCCTGGTTGGAGAAGGACGGAGGGCGCAGGGAGGCGGAGCGCGAGTTTGGGGGACCCAGAGTGGAATTGGGGTCGCCACGAGGGGTTAGCGGGGGAAGAATCTGGCTGCCAGACGCTGGACTTCAGGCCGCCCTCCAGGAAGAAGCTGTCGAATAAAGCCTCCTTCCTAGGGCTGTTTGTTTCTCGCCACTCCTTGAAGCGAAGCGTTTTCCACTCCAAGGACAGTGGCGAGAGGGAGAGGAGAGAGAAGCAAGTCCCTGGGCCCCCGAAGGCCACCACCGAGGTGGCCAGGCCCCCTCGCAGCGAGCGGGTCTAGCTGAGTCTGGGCTCAGGCGCCAGCCCGGGCTCTCCCACAAGCAGGGGGAGGCAAAGAAAAGGTCCCTCTGGATGACAATTTTTACTCAACAGCAGCTCTCCGGGGGGTCCTCGGCCGAATCTGCATTTAACAGCTCCTGTTCGAGGGCTGGTGGGCTGCGCAGGGCGCCCTGTTGCATGTTAATCTAGATTTGTCTCTGACATCTGGGGAGAAGTAATGTGGCTCCCGGAGATGGAACCAGAAAGCCATGCTCGCCAGGCAGGTTAAATGCCAAGCGCTGCTGAGCTCCCCGGGGAGGGGTGACCGCCGCCGGGGCTGCGCGGCCCAGGCCGGAGAGCAGCAGGCTTCCGGGCCTCTGGGATCAGGGGCAGTCCTGGGCCAGTGCGCCTTGGTTTCCCAGTGGGGCCGGGGAACCCAGGTGGCAAGTGTTTTATTTGAAGAGTCCAGAACGTTGTTTCTAAAGCATCCTTTGAGATGACCGTCTTAAAACTGAACTTGAACTTGACAGAAAACACCCCTTCCCTGCAAAGTGGGATGGGGACACGTCCAAGGGAGATTTAAGCTTTCTCTTTTGAGGAGGTGTTGCTTAGGGATGGGGAGGCCTAATGTTCTTCATTTATTGGATCCACTGCTTTAGGGAAAAAAAAAATAGATGAGGCCAAGGGATATTTACTAATACTAGGAATGCAAGCAATTTTGTTTTCATCCATTGAGAAAAATGACACAAACATGGAGGGATAAGAAAATATCGATTAGTTTGTTTCTCAATGCTTAACACATGGACACAACTTATTTAAATTATAAGTGCTTTTAGGGTCTCACTTAATGTCTTAATCTTGGAACCTCTGAGTCCACAGGCCTTGAAGGCCATGGAGTCTTAGAATAATCTGACTTTACTTTTGATTATTGTTGTGAGTCATGTGGGATACTCTTAATTCCTCTTGAAATATGTCAGAGGGAAATTATGGCAAGATTCTCTTTAATGATTAAATAATAAGGTGTTGACTGCTTGTCACTACAGTCGCTAATTGGGATGTTCATTCTAGGCCCTTTGTTGCTTAGTATCCTTTGATTTCAAAGATAGTTGTTTACCAGGTGTGTTTTTATTGTTTTCTGATTGGCTCCTTGGGTGTATTTATGTGTGACTGTCAGAGTAGGGATGTATTGGTTTTTATTAGGGGCATGCCAAAAACATTTGAGAGGAAAAAAAAAAGTGATACAGAGTCAATGCAGATAGGTTGAGATCGATTACATTTTTAAATGTCTCAGAGTCTAAATGTTAATGCTGTGAAACTTATTCCCCTTTCCTAGGTTCTCTCTCCCTTTCACAGTAGAAGTCCCCAGTGCAAGCTCTATGGTTAATAGAAAGCAATGATACTAATGCTACTTTGTACAAAGTAAAGCCCCATAACAGTAACTATTGTTCAGTGATTTAACTAGCTCTGTGGCAATAGGTCACTCAAATAGCAGTTCCTCTCCCACCAGAGTGACTCCATGGCTCACGATTTAGAAATATATAGAGTGGTTGTGATGACTCTTGGTATCGGTCCTAACTTAGAGATTTTTAGTAGAAAACATGAAATTTAACTAGCAGAAGAAAGAAGAAGGAA